GAGTTCAAAAGAAACCTGCAATAAATAAAGTCGTATAACAATGACCATAACTTATTCAATATTGCATCAGCTTAACATTAATCACAAACATTTTCTTCATGATCAAAATGAGCTTATATATGTATGATTTAATTTTTAAAATTATATCTGTATGATTTTACTAGAAATAAATAAATATATAAAGACCTGTTGGCTCAAATGAAATAAATATAAAACTGGATAAGAAAAATCATCTTATACCATTGGAGACATTTCTAAAAAAAAAAAGGAAATCCCTCCAGACACAAACCCCTATTTTCTAAAAGTTATAGCTTTATATTTCACCAATAAAATACAGCCCACTCTCTTGTGTTTCTCCCATACAACAGCAAAGAAACCATATTCACCAAACAATACAAAAACTGAGCAAAGCTTCACCTCTGGTACAAAGAGTGCAGGTCTTGGACCAGTGGCATTTCTTATTGCTGTTAAAATGTCCATCTGTGTCAATCCTGCAAGAGGATGAATGCTGTCTAGGGTGCGGCCAAATGTCTCATGAAAGATGTAGCATATGCGAGCACCTCCACACCTGCAAAGTAATGGAGTAAGTTGATCTTCTGGAAATTCATCAAAACTTTTATTTCATGTGAATGCCAGTTACAGTTTTTAGATTTTTGCTTTAATTTTATGAATTAGACATTGTCAATGGTTAGCCTGGACTAGATACTGTCAGTAACAGATATTGCAAAAACTGAAAATATGTAGAGCTGTGTGCAGCAAAGGCTGAATAAGTCATATTGCAATTTGTCTGAAAACATACCCAAAGTATCTCTATAAAAAAAAAGAAGAAGAAAGAAAGAACGAAAGAAAAAGAAAGAAAACAAGAACTCACAGTTCTGTCGTCTCTATGTTCCTAGCAGTGCCTTCAATGGTCTGGCAGTAAGCAGCATTGAATTTTGTGATGATCTGCAATAGTGTCTGAGCCTTATCCTGGACATCATCACCATAACTATGGAGCAGAGACTGGAACTGCGACATCATCATGGTGACACGTGTCTGCAGAAATGGAAAAGAGAGAGAGTGAGAGAAACAAGGGTAAATTGTGTGCAATACAGTTAAATGCGAAATGGTAGCCTGTTTTGCTATCTGTCATATTGTCTCTGATCTTGGAAATTTAAGAAAGCAAATTCTGATACAGTAATCAAGAAATTGTTACTGCTACTCTGTATACAATTTTTGACAATGCATGATGAAGTAGTACGTTAAATCAATTGGCAGTCCATTGTGCATAATTACATTTTCTATAAAAGAAATCCTCAACATCGTATTCTACAGTATCATCAAGTCAACACATTCACACCTTAGCAAATGCATGATATTATCAAAGCAAAATTACAACACTATCACATTCTCTTTGAAGATACGTATTCTTGACTTCTAAACGGCTTACCTTTAGCTCTGGAAGACAGTCCCTAATGTGGTGCATCAGCAGGCGGTTCAGGGTCTTGGCAAGATAAGGAGTTCCATTGCGGTTGGCTAATGTCGGATACTTCCGCTGGAGAAATGCAGCTTCATCCCTTAGGGCATCCTTAATAGTCTGGAAGCACCAAAGGAATGGGTAGAAATAATTCTTTGATATTTTCAAAAACTGTCAGGAAGCCCAAAATCTGGACATGATAAACATTTTGCCTTGTGAATAAAACAGATATGGGTCTTTCCAAACCAATCACAGCTAAAATTATGTTATATGTGTAGGAATTATAATGGAAACATGCATGCTATACTGGATTTGTAACTTTCATGTATGTATAACTTCTAATGAATCATTTGGCTTTTGTTTTGAGGATCTCATCATAGCAATATGCCTGCCTTTTGTCAAAAAAGACAATGATAAAGTCAGATGACCTACCTATGGCTCAATGGTGTGCATACATAATGCAACCACTTTTAGATTTTATGAGAATCTAACTGTATCTTCTTACAATCAATGAAATCCATGCATCCTTTAGCACTGATTGACCACTATCATTCCATGAAAGGAAATCTATAATTTTGCACAATACATAAAAAAATTAGAAAAGGCCTTAGGGTAACATCCTAAAAGAAAGAAAAAAAGAAAGAAAGAAAGAAAGAAAAAAAGAAAGAAAAAGTATAAATAAATATATAATATATATATATATATATATATATATATATATATATATATATATATATATATATATATATATATATATATATATATGTATATATATATATATATATATAATATATATATATATATATATATATATATTATATAGTATACCGTATATATATATATATATATATATATATTATATATATATATATATTATATATATTAGTTATATATATATATATATATAATATATATTATACATATAAATAATATTCATATATCTGTGTGTGTGTGTGTGTGTGTGTGTGTGTTGTGTGTGTGTGTGTGTGTGTGTGTGTGTGTGTGTGTGTGTGTGTGTGTGGTGTGTGTGTGTGTGTGTGTGTGTGTGTTGTGTGTAATGTGTGGTGTGTGTGTATGTGTGTATTGTGTATATGTGGTATGTGTGTGTGTGTTGATGTGTATATGTGTGTATGTGTATTTATAATGTATATAATGTATAATGTATATGTATGTATATATGTTATGTATATATGTATGTTATATATATGTATATGTATGTTTATATGTATATATGTATTTAATATTATATGTACTATGTATGTATATATATGTGTATATACTATATATATATATATATAATATGTATATATATATATATGTATATAGTATAATGTGTATATATGTATATATGAATATGTATATGTATGTTAATACTGTATGAATATATGTATATATATATATGTATATATTACTGTATGTATATGTATATATGTTATATATGATGATATGTATATATATAATATATATATTATTATAGGTATATATTATATATTATATAATATATATATATATATTAATATATATATATATATATATTCATTTATTTTATTTATTTATTTATTTATTTATTTTTACTACATTTTTATCAATCAATAGTCTACCTTGTTGTCAATGATATCCTGTTGAGAACGGTTTACAACACCAATAATTCCTAATTTCACTGGAATGACACGGCCACAAAGAATGTCAATAGCATCAGTTCCTGAAATGAATAAATAATAAAATTATTAGTTCATTCCATTAGAGAGAGGGAAAAGAAAAGAAAAGAAAAGAAAAGAAAATTATATATATATATATATATATATATATATATATATATATATATATATATATATATATATATATATATATATATATATATATATATATATATATATATATATAATATATATATATATATATATATATATATATATATATATACTCTTCCCAAATTCTGAATCTCATACAAGGGATATTGTACAATGCAAAATGTCTGATGTGACAAAATTAGTCTTGTCTCTGATCTATCTACTAACCCGCATCCATGAGATCCAACTTAGTGATGACAGCCAGCGTCCTGCGACCATCAGGGTCCACCTCTTTGGCCAACTTTAGGCTCTCAGAAGTGGCCATGTCCATGTTTGCAGGCGACACAGCCAGAATGATGGAGTTGGGGTTGCCGATGTAGAATAGGACCAGGTCCCGGATTTGTTGCTCAATGTCTTCAGGCTGCTCACCTACCGGCACCTGAGGAAAATGAGACAATGTTAGTGCTTATGACAATAATAATAATCAGAAAAAAATGAATATGATAAAGAATAATAACAAAGATAAAAGTAACATAAATAGTAAGAATAATCCCTTATAATGATGATAGTAGTGCTAAAGGTTAATAGTAATAGTGACAACTATTCGCTCCCATCATATCTGTTAATATAAATAACATCCACCAATCCCATTCAAACTTATTCTAACCATACCTTTGTCAGTCCTGGCAGATCCACCACAGTCAGGTTGACCACCTTGTCTGAGAAGATTTTGAGTCGGATAGGCTCACTGCAGATACCTTTTCCATTGCCTGCCACCCGGTCGGTTTCATGCTCAATCTCCTTCCGCACATCATCAAAGTCTGTATAGATCCGACTCCGTGCATGGAGGAATTGGGCCCACTCATCCAAGTCCAGAGTACCTGCACATAAAACAACAAAGGAAATAAATAAGAAAAATATATCGCAGTTTGAATGATGGTGGAAATTGTAGCATGGGGTTTGAACAAAAAATGTAGCCAATGGTTTTAACAACAGAAAATCTAGCTTGGGGCCTGGATAGAAGAAAACGTAGACTGTGGTTTAATCAAAATAAAACATAGCCTACAGTTTAAATAAAAGAAGAAAATGTTGTCTGGTCTTGGAGGGAGAGGGAGAAGTAGTCTATGGTCAAACATGAAAAAAATTTAGCCTGGAGTTTGAAAAAAAGAACTTGTAGCCTGGGGTTTCAACAAATGAAGAAAAAATAGCCTTGGAGTTTCAACAAAAGGAGAAATAATATCCTTGGGTTTTTAACAAAAGCAGACATTGTAGTCTATGATTTAAACAGAAGAGGATACTGTAAACTGGAATTTTTACACAAGAAAATGTAGCATGGAGTCTAAATGAAACAGTGGGAGGAAGACTGTAGACAGGAGTTTAATTAGAAACCTGATCAAAGGAGGGAAAAGGAAAGCAGACTGAAACTCTTGTAGACTGAACTGCATAATAAACTCATTAGTAATTTAACCCCCTAGTGCATGAGATAGCTCACTCACAGGTGGCCTAGTTATCATCAAATTCCAAAAGCATTCAAAACAACTGTATGGCAGTGTGAGATATCAATAAAGAAGTTATCAGTCAAAATTCAGAGAGAAACTTGACATCCATTTCCTCTGCACATTTAAAATTCTTATATAGTTGTACAGCATTACACACATCGTATATTCAGTGGTTAAAAAAAATCTACAAGAAAATAGTTTAACTATTCATTATAGGGCAACATGTACCTCATCAAAAATTCTCATCAAACTTTG